CTCATCACTGTTGATTGTTCTTTGCAGGAAGGTACATCCATTAAAACAATTTAAAACATGCAGAAGAGATCAAATACATGCACACTGACTGCAAAGAACATCAATCAACACATTCACGTGGCAAGCAAGGAATGATGTAGTTCAAGATTCTTCCCTGAGTTTATTGATTCTGTTTATTCCCTTAATAGCATTACAGCGAGTGAAGATTTTGACAAGTTTACTAATATATTTTGTATCATGATCCTGCACCAAAACTTAATATCATTCAATTGATATCAAGATTCTACAGAGATGTTAAATTTGATTTTTTACTCTCTGCATCTTGTTTTTTTTTCCCCTTTTTTTTTTGTTTTGTTTTGCTTTTTTAATGTTTGTCTTAAGTGTGGGTTCATAATTTGCCTGACTGCAAAATGCCAACCAAACCTGGAATATGCAGTGTTATCCACTGTGCTCCATTTAAGAAACACATGCAAATGCTTGTAGGATTAAACCCCTTCATTCACCTATACTAAGGTAAATGCTTGTATGGCAAATATTACATTTTCCATTCATGTTTTTTTTCATTTTTATTGAGCCATTCAAAAACTTTGGTCTATAAAAACACACAACATTAAAAAAATCAGTAAAATACAGGCTATAATCCTGCAAGCATATTGTTGTTTAGAATTGTTAATTTTTTGGTTGGGCCAAAATTTCTTTTGAGTTGGCTAATTTGTTTATGCTTTTTAGCTTGAGCTCTTTCTTTAGTTTGTTTAAAGGAGGACTTTTGTTCTGTGTTAACTAAGTTCAAACTTCTTCGGATCACCATGATCAGAAGAACTTTAAACTGAAAGATTAAAAACATTACACATGAGTCCATGAACAAATTTGGAGACAATTTAGAAAATCTTGAAAAGCTGGCTGGCTGGCAGGAAAGGAAAAACTAAGATGCAACTGTACCTTTAACCAAGCATAGAAGAATCAGGATAGGATTTGTTCCTCACCAACACTGCTAAATGGAACAGGACATGTTGACAACAAAACCAGCATTCAGCAATAATAAATCAAAAGACAAATGAAAGCCACAAAATAAGAAAAGTAACAAAATAAAATTGGTCACCTGTCCACATAATGTTTATCTTTGGGTTCAGTTTGTTTCCCAGTGTGATAAGGTAGTCAGATGTCTCTACAGATGGAATGGCTCTTGTGCCACAATATTCTACACAAGGAAAAAAAAACAGCATCATTCCAAAATCATGGTTACAATTTCTGAACACCCTCAAAACTTGCAGATAGCACAAATTCCCTTTACATCTTCACCAACTTTTTCTCTAGAGTGGGGTAAGGGAGGTAATAAAGGAAAGGTCATTACATACACTGTATTGGTAAGATGCACTAAACTTCTTTAAGAGGACAAGGTTTGGTTTAAGTGTCTCGAAGATTTATTGGCCTGAAGATTGTACAATTCTGTCATGCAAAAGTTACTTATCTGGTATAACAACTTGTTGCTACTAATTCATATTGTTGTTAAATACAACAAACAAAAGAAATCCTGCACTTATATCTGAAGTGGATCAGAGATTTACTGTACCTGTTGGACAAAACAGAAAGCTTGGGCATCCCAAGTGTTTGTACACATTATTTGTGATTTCCACCTGAGCATCTCCAAATGAACTAAATGCATCAAGATCAGCACCATGTAACTGTGGATCAATGTCATCAAATAACAGAGCAAATGCTGTGCAACCAAGCTTCTGCACCTGAAAAGAGAAGAGCAAATGGTACAATTAACTTGTTTTCAGTTTTGTGCCTGTATTTTCTAGGAAGCTCAAGCTTGCAAATATGCAGCTTACAATCATTGGAACTCAAGATAAAACTCTTCTTTGGAGGGTACTTGAAAGGGCTACTCATGTGCATCCAAGAGAAAGTCATGAGGAATACCTAGTGATTCTGATGCTGTATGAGCAAAAGAAACAACCTTCCAGAACTTCTCTATCCCTGGATGGCTTTTACCAACTTAAAATATACTTACCGTATTTACCTGTGTATAAGTCGACCTTTTACTGCCTAAAAATCGGTCCAAAAAATCACCCTCGACTTATACATGGGTCAAAATCTGAGATAAAAAAACTTTGAACTTCGTCGACTTGTACACGGGTAAATACAGTAAATGACAGAACTTGTAATTGATCCTGGGGATAGCAAAATCTAGAAAAGACTAAAACCTCTAAAGGACACTAAACAGTGAAATACTATAATTTAAGTCCAACACCCCTGAATATATTTTACTAACTATTTAATAATTTTCTGTTTTTTTCTTTTTCATCCATCACTGTTTCGGTGACACAAAAAAGTATTCTGCAGAGATCTAGTAACAACAAAGAATACTAACTGTACCTGATCCATTTTTCTTTTGAGCAGCTGTACGTCTCTTGAGCTTGAAAATAATATATCAAGTCCAGGGGACAAGGCATAGTAGAGAGTTATACCACATTCCTTTGCTGATACAATAAGCTGCTTTAAATTCTCTGTGAATGATTATAAAGAACAAATAAGATAAATTATTTGAAGAATGTTGAACTGGCAATTTAAAGGTTTAGAAGCTAATGGACTTTTCAGTAAATGCAGAAATTTTAGCTAAGCAATTGTTCAGTAAAGCTCAATGAGCACTTCTGAGGTTATGCACTTGCTATTGTTTGCCATCTTTGAGCCACTCTAATAAAAACTTTAGCTGGCAGCCTAATTTCTAAGCTACAACACTGCCTCAGTAATACATTTATGATATTATCTGTTGAACTTTCAGGTAAGTGCAAGAAAGTAACCTCCAAGGAAACCAATTTGCCTATAACTACTTAATTAGGAGACACTGAACTCAGTCTAATTTACCAGTTTCTTCTGGACTATAGAGGTCTCTCCACAGTGCTCTGTGTTTGAGGTCATCTTTGGGAGCATACAAGTAAGTATTCATTCCCAGCTTCTTTATCCTAACAAACAAAAAGCAGATTGGCCTCAATTAACCCATGTGTTACGTCTGGAAAACAAAAGAAAACAATCAAACCTCCATTATCCCGACCTCCATCATCCAGATTTTTTTGATTATCCAGAGTAGCTTCTCTGGTCACATTTGTTTTATGAATAACATAACTAGGACACACACACACATGCACACAATCTGTAACACTTTTTTTTACATCAAACAAAGCAAGTGCAAGGAAACATCTGTTGAAATTAAATTTGTTCCACTTTCCAACTGTTGACTACTTTTAATAAGACATGTGCATTACTTTGTAAACCATACAGCGCAATTCAGAGCCTGGAAAGGTGCAAAAAGTTGCATTATATTTTGCATTTTTTCTTCTCCTTTTTTCCTTGACTACCAGATAAGTATGTTTCTAGTTATTATCTATTTTTTCATAAAGTATAAAACCTTTAAACTCTCAGAATGACTAGCATCTAATTTCTCTTGACAATATCGCCACTAAATCACACATTAAGGTCATGAGAATAAAGGAAATGACCATCAATGAAAGAAGCTTTTGATCGGTAAACAAATTCTCCTTGTAAAAACCTTAGGACATGTATAAAGAACAGTATGGAGAATATACATACTGATGTGAGGGTGTAAAGGGTTTAGGCAAACAACCCAACAAAATTGTTCATTTTCCCCACAATAAACATTTGAGGGTTTTGGATGACAAAACTTGATTATACATACGGCTTGGTCAGAAATAAAACAACCTCTGACTGAAAGGGTATTATTCAATTTTAAATAATATTGTTTCAGTGTTGTGAAATTAAAATAAATGAATATTCCTTGTTTACACAACAGTTTTCCAAGCTGTTACACGAGACAGACCATGGTCATAACTTTGCATCCTTGGGCGACAGAAAATAAAACCGTGTAATATAAAATATATCTTACATTGAAACCAATTAAATGTAATTACTTCCAAAGCAAGTGCTTTGAGTGTAACCTGAAATCGAGCTGAAGAAGATGATTTTCCTAAACTCAAACATTCCTACTTAATCACGGAAGTCTGATTACAAAAATAGTATGCTTAGAACATTTATCACAGCTGTACAGAGCGAAGTTACTCGTCGTTAACTAGGTAGCGTCTAAATAAAAGTTTATTTTGTGTAAGCTTCTGTAACCGAGCTAAGTCAAATGTCACGGCCGATAATGCAGATCATTTACCTCAAAAACAACTCTTTGCGCTGTTCAAGTGTCCACGGTCTTCCATAGAAACCTGTCAAAAGTTGATAAGGAAAAGAGTTATCAAGTTATGTTTACAAAAGCAAGCTTTCGAAGAAGATAATATTTCCTACAAGGTGGTTTTCGTTCGGCCCTTTACGTTCGTCTCGGATTCAATTTAGCTGCAAGAAAAAAGCTCTTACCTTCAACAACCCCGCTAAGAAACTCTTCGCTCCTAGCTTTAGACGTATCTGAACTCATCTTAGTTCTTTTCTTGGATCCTACACGAATTTTAGGTTTTGAATTTTTTAGAATACGAACCCTTTCAGAGAACGCCTTCATCAGTACCTTCTCGACCTTCTCGACCTTCTCAGCTCCGGCCGGATTGTGCGCAGTATCTACACTAAATCACGTTTGTCCGGTTTTCGCGATTCCCGCGAAATTCCCGCGCCCGAGGGGCAAAAACACCTGCAAAGAAATTAACACTGATGAAAAAGCGGCTTTAAGGGTTTCAAATGAGCAATGCACATATGGAATAGGAGAGGCAAGTAACCGCGGTAAAGAGAGGTTGTTAACTTGTGTGACCCCGTGCATCCTTCTTTATTTTGGTCCTAGTTCTCTCGGATGCTGCCACGATCACATCGTTACGGTGGCCACCGTACATCATTACTAGGGGGTACCCGCTGGAACATGAAAGTCAATCAAAATAACTGTGTTTCTGTGATAAACATCCCAGAGTATGTTGCAAAATGTGTTTGTGGTTTTGATTACAATCCAGCTTTGGATTTGTATGCAACGTTTAGTTTCGAAGATGGTATATGGTAAGTTGTTGTCAGATTTGAAGACTCGGATGAAATCCTCTCTTTCCTGCTATTTTTACCGGGAAATCGCCTTGCTATGAGCTCTTCGTGCCCAAATCATGGAGGTACCATCGAAATCTGTACTTTTGAGGAAGACAAATCTATGTCTGATAAATTTGAGATCGATTCTAAAGATCTCCCCCTAGATCTACCAGGAACCATTGCTTTGTCTCCAGGAGGGAATATTCTTCTCTCTGGGGAAATTTATGGAGATCTTTTCGAAATCTTCATTGATTGGGCTAATTCAAAAGTTCTGAAATCAAGAGAAATTGTTTTTCCAAACGAAGGGACCGTGGTAATCGAAGAAGATGTGACAACAGAAGTACTTTCTTGCTCTCAGGATTTCGGTGTTGTACAGTGCAACTTTCATCAACCTCACTTCGAATCCGACTCTTTCTACGAATTGTTAGCTGCAAAAGTGAATTTACACATTGAAGGGGAGGCTCAGATCCAGGGTCACGAGAAAATCACATATTATGTGCTTAATGGAGAAGAAAAACGAATCTCACCGCACGATTGTCTTGGTGGACTTGTTCACGATGGACAAAATCTTATCATTGCAAATGGAGATGAAATTGTGTTGTTGGAGTCAGCAACAGAAGGGAGCAATGCACATGTGATTGCATCAGGAGTTAAACCTTCACAAATAAGGGTAAACCATGAAGGCCAATTGATGGTCTGTGAGAAAAACACCATCAAGTTGTTTGAATACAAGAATGAAGTCAAGTCACTGCAGAGATTGTGCCGACATAATATCAGAGAAACAATTGGCACTAATTGTGCTGAAAGAGTAAAAAATTTAGAAATTTCATCTTTACTGAAAGATTATCTGTTGTACAAAATTAAATGAACCATAAATGTGTTTAAAATACTGTATCTACATCTGTTTTCCCAATAAACAGATTAACAACCATTTTCAAAATAAAAATTACTCTTAATTAGTCTGTTTCAGGCTATTAGTTTGTGGAGATGTGCCTAAGAGTGGGATAAGCAACAAACAACTGATGTGGTCATCACAGAAATGATCCCTGCTATTTTTTGTACACACACTATTTTACTTGTTTCCAGTAATCATATGGCTGGCAGGGGTCACATTACTCTCTTCACTTACCACAAAGGCACAGAAATAATTGTTTTAAAACTGAGAGAAAATTAAAAATGGTTATCTTGGTGTGCCCTCTTGACCTGGTGTTGAGCACACATAGCAATAACCATTATGACAGTTTTAATGAAGTGTTTTTGAGTTTGTTTTATAAACATGACTTTACCTCCTGTGTTATTTTGTATTTTCAGTACTCAAATATAATCAAGTTTTTTCATAAATTCTTTTTCCTTCCCTCATATTATGCTCAATCCCTTTAGTCTGCCCTAAGCCATGTTCATTAAATACCACACAACTGTTAAATTACTTATGCTCTAGAAATTAAGGTTGGGGAACTTTTACAAGGTAAATGAATGGACTACAACCCAGTTGACTTTCTCATATCATCAATATTTTGGAGTAGACCTTTCCCCAAACAGGTGCTCACAGGACACCAAAGGAAATAAGTTGTACAAAATCAATATTTTCCACAATCATTGAATAAGTTAGTTACTAACTTAGATTACTGAGAAGAGGAAACTACTCAAAACATTTTGCCATTTTAGGTCCAGTCATAATGACCACATGGATTTTCTAAGTCTTTTCCCTTTCATTCCAATCATTAATTTGACCTTCAGTCGCACATAGACAAAAATGAAAGCAATGTAGAAATCATATCCTGTTCCACGCCATTTTGTTCCGTATCCCTCATTTTGCGTTCCTTATTCCATATTTCCTAGTCGTTGCCCATGTGACCAATTAAGGGACCTGCAGTACCTGAGAAAGTGAGGCACGGAGTGCTCCTGAGGGTTAAGTACCAATATTTCACACCGTAAAGCTATCAGTTGGAAGATGAGAGTTATCCCAAACAACTGTGTTTCTGAAATTAAATACCCAAAGAGTATAGCAAGAGCAGATGGTGTTGATTATAATCCAGTTTTGAATTTGTTTGTAACGTTCAATTATAACTACGATGGTGCATGTGTTTGGGATTCCTCCACTGGAAAAGTTTTAGCTAGATTCGATGAATTAGGTGAAAACTTCCGTGACGTGCTGTTTTTACCAGGAAATCACCTAGCTGTAAGTTCGTCAGAGGCACATCACGGTGGCTGCATAAAGATCTGTTTCTTTGAAGATGGCAAACCTGCCTCTGTTAAATTTGTAATTGATTCCGAAGATCTTCCCGTGGATTATCCAGGAGCCATAGCTTTGTCTCCAGGAAGGAATCTCCTTGTCTCTGAAGCATTTAATGGTGGAGATCTCTACGAGGTATTAATAGACTGGGATAATTTGAAAGTTCTGAAATCAAGAGAAATTATCCCCTCAACAGAGGAAAGCGTAGAAGATCAGATATTGCAGCTTTCCTGTTCTCAGAATTTCGATGTTGCAAGGTTTGATATTTCTTCCGATGCAATATTAGTTGCAAAAGTGACCGAATTTAGCACTGAAGGGAAGGCACAGACCCAGAAGCAAGAGGAAATCACATATTATGTACTTGATGGAGAAGAAAAACGAATCGCAAGCAATGATGGTTCACATGTACCTGGACTTGCTCATGATGGACAAAACCTAATCATTGCCACAGAAAATGAAATTGTATTGCTGGAGTCAGCAACAGAAGGGAGCAATGCACTTCTTATTGCATCAGGTGTAAAACCTTCTGGACAAATAAAGATAAACTGTGAAGGTCAATTGATGGTCTGTGAAAAAAATGCAATCAAGTTGTTTGAATACAAGAATGAAATTCGGTCACTTCAGAGTTTGTGCCGGCATTACATCCGAGAAGCAATTAGCACTAATTTTGCTAGAAAGGAAAACAATTCAATAATTCCATCTTCACTGAAAGATGATGATGACAATGCTGATGATGGGGATGATGGGGATGATGATGATGATGATGATGATGATGATGATGAGGATGAAATCAGAGAACCAATTCATACTTACTATGCCAAAGTAGTACACAAATTAATTATTCCTTCCTCACTGAAAGATTACCTGCTGTACAAATCAAACTGAGCTAATGAGATAACTAGAATTATTTATGGGAAATCCTCATCAGTTAAACCAACGTCTGTGTGGGTCTTGTCTTTTCCCTCATAGTTGAGGATTATTAAGTTTGCCAACCAAAATGAAAGGGAAATAAGAGAGTGACTGGAATTCTGTCCTTGAGTTAAGTGCATTTTCAGAGTTGCTTTGCCTGAGTGAAACCAAAGCAGTAATGATATGCTATTATCTCCTTTGAGAAGAATATGATACACAAATATTGGTACATAACAGTATTACACGTACTACGATGTAACTGAGATATAACTACGTGAATTATATAGTTTAATCTATAGATTAGATGTCTGTTATACATTAAATAGTTCAACTGAGTTTCAGACAGCCAGCCAGACAGTTTTAGATCAAAAGTTTTAAATTTCATTTAGTTATTAATCAGAGGAGCTCTTTGCTTGAAATAAAAAGAAGACACCAGGAATGTTTCATAATGCTCCTTATGTTGTAATATTTGTCTGCCGGAGGGATATTTTTTCTTATTTATAACAGTTTCATTGGGATGATTTATCAAACCTTAGGCTCTTTGTTGGAAAAGGCAGAAATGAGGTTAATGCTTTATTTATTTGATAATATCTTTTGTTTTTAAATAATTATGGCCCCAACAATCCCTGTTTGTACTCATTCTGACTTACATTGCTAATAATTGCTTAAAGTAAGTAATGGCATGAGAGTACAGGCTCCCTGGGAACCATAGGGGGTAGCAGAGCCAGGCAGTTGTTAAACAGTTAGGGTTAATTGCAGACCAAACTTGCACACTCACTCTCAAAAGAACAAAAAATAACAAAGATAACACTGACTTGCACACAGAGACATGACCTGTGAATTAGTGACTACAACTCACAACTTATAACATGAGGAGGGAAATGTAAAATTTTTATGAATAGATATACATTTTATCAAAATCTAAATGTAAACGAACAATAGCTACATGTATACAAACATCTGATAGCACAGGTAGAAAATCTAAGGTATGGCATGATTTTTCAGTTAGAAGACAGCAACTCACCACAAGAACAGAATAACCATTTATTTAGAAAGTCATTCTTCCTTACATAAACATCAAACAAGGCTAGCAGTGCACCCTGATACCAAGGCTACGTAGCCTACCATATATAACATCCTTTTTCCTCTAAAAAAAAAAAAGGATCTATCGATATCTGGCACTATCTTCAATAATCACTTCACCACAGGTTTGTCCACTCTCACTTTGACGGCCTCATTAGATGGACTTCGAGGAGGAATGAAATGCACTGAATCTACACTTTTAAGCTCTTCAATATCTTTGGCTCCCTTGTGGTAATTACTTGTTTGATGTTCCTTGTTGATTAGCAGCTTGTTATGGACATTATGATCAACTACTGGTCTAAGGAGCCATGGTAAGGTAGGGACTTGGGTTCTTGTCTGTCTGCTCATGAGTTGTACCACTGAGCCATTGTCCATTCCCTGACTGGGTGTGTTCCTGTATTTGAGAAGTGCAAGATAAGGATCTGTCTTTGCCTTTCTAGATTTCTTGATAACTGCCTTTGCTGACTTGATAGCTGCCTCAACTTTCCCCTTACTCTGAGGGTATGTCAGGGAGCTTGTCACGAGAGTGAAACTCCGCTGATGACTGAACTCCTTAAATTCATGCGAAATAAACTGTGAGTTGTTGTCTGACATGCACATCTCTGTGCCTAGCAAATTGGGCCTTTAACTTCTGGATCACTGTTGCTGACCACATGTCCTCAAGAAGATCAATTTCCCAAAACAAGGAGTAGTAATCCACACAGATGATGTAGTTACAACTCCTGTAACTGAATAGGGCAATTCTAACATTAGCCTAAGGTCTATCTGGGACTATATGGGAGATCAGTGTCTCTTTAGGCTGTCTCTTGTCATAGGATCTGCAAACACCACGCACCTCAATGAACTGTTGGATCTCACTACTCATGCCAGGCCATTAGATGCATTCTCTTGCTTGTGAAAGGCTGCTGACAACACCAGAGTGCGCATAATGAAGGTAATGCATCAGGTCTTGACACAGTGACAGAGACCGTGAAGATGTAAGATATAAACTACAGACTTTGAAAAATCATACAACTACAAAAGGAAAGCTGAAATTATTAATTCAGGAGAAGAGAACATTAAGTTGAATCTCTGAAAGCAGAGTGAGAGAAAATTTTTATTTCAGAGATTTTAGTTATTATTTTCATTCACAAAGTTTCAGTGATTTATTTTGGCCCTTAAATTCTGTGTTTGAAATCTTTAAGTTGGTTCTTGCTTTAGATGAGGGACCATAGCCCAGCAGTATGGGACATCAAAAAAGTGAATAAGATGATTATTTGTAATTTTCATTGAAATTGTTTAATCAAGCCTGCATCTGTTATTTATTTTTAAAACATCTGTCTAATGACTTTTGAGGTACATCTTAAGTAAAGTATTCATATAACTTCCACAAAATCTGAACTGATTTCCAATAAAAATTTCCTCAACTTGTGTTTACAGAAATCCTCTTCAACAACTCTTTTGAATGTCCATGCAATGACTGGTGTTAAATTGATCCCTGGGAAAACCATCAGATTCTCAGTCCAAAGGAGACCCCTTTGGAGTGAGAAAATTTTATTAACCCATTCAAAAGCGGCATCTTAGAACATAGTGACGTCATTTGCGTAATTGTGCTTTGCGGCTGACAAGCCAATATGGCGACAAGAAAGCCTCTTCACAGCAGTCACAGCTTTGATACGGAATCTAGCGAAGGGGGAAGAGAATTGTTCGAGGCTTGTAGAAATGGTGACGTAACAAAAGTCAGAAGAATAGTTAACATCAATTCTAATGTAAATCTCCGAGATACAGCCGGCAGAAAGTCATCTCCGCTACACTTTGCAGCAGGTAAGCGAATTCGATGAAAACAAACAAATGGCGCTCTCATCATTTCAACATCTCTGAAAGAAAGTCAGTCATTTTGTTCGTTTGCAGATGATCTGATCGATTTCTTTTGGATCGAAGTTATCTGCTATGTTAAATTTCGCGATTTACGAGAAGCTTGTGTAATCTTGAATGCAGTAAGGATGTAATCTTTTTATAAAAACTTTCGCAAGCCTTTACCTCGACTTTTAGCGCTTTCTCTATTTTTACAGAAGCTGATTTGTAAAAGTTTATTTTA